TAGCATGAAAAGTACAGTGCTAAACAATAACAAAGATAGTAATACAAGAATTATTCTAGAATGGATAACATTTCAAAAGTAAATGCTAGTGAAAATCGGATAAGGGTAGTGATGATCTTGGACGAAAATCAAGTGTAACAACATGAATAATAAAATATGATTAACATTGTTTATTATTGTAATAGTTATTGTTGTTATTATTGTTATTGTTATGTTAAAAAACCAGTTTAAACTGGTTTGGTTTTTTTTTTTGCTATTTTGATGAAATCTTATTAGATAATTGGAAAGTGACAATTATTTGAAAGAAGTAAACTGATTTCGGTTTTTTGAAAAAAAAATTTGGAAAATTTTAAAATAGTACAGTAAATAGTATCATGATAAGATTATATGTGAAGATTGTGTTTAAAATACACAATAGACTTAAAACTTTGTTTGAGTGTGTTTTTTGGAAAGTATTTGGTTTAGTGAATATAATGATATTTATGTGAATGGTTTTTGTGATATAGTAAAAAAAAAAAGTGATGTAAGAGAACAAAAGAGAAGAAAACTGCTATAGGTCTTTTTTCATGCAACTGAAGGATAAGTAAGACTTCCAAACTTGAGTAGACTTTGACTAGAGATTCTTTCTTATTGCATCAGTTGTCTTGAAGGTTCTTAAATTTTTGAGTTGAAACTTACTTGTGATAAAGAGTATTAAATATTTTTTCTTGTTTAAAATTACTATAAAAGAAAAAATTTTAACAAAACAAATATTATTAGTATATATAATAATGAAACAATGAAATAATAAAATTAATAAAAAAAAAACTTTTTTATATATAATATTTTTTTTATCTTTTAATATTTAAAAGTTCTATATAACTTTTTTATCTTTATTATAAAAGTCTTAAGTAAATCAAAAAAATATATTGATGCACTAGAATAAAATTTCTGATCAAAAAAAAACAAAATTGATAACTTTGCTTTTTTTTTATTTGTATAAGAAAATATTTATGATAATTACTTTTTTATAAATATTCTTTAGGTTTTTTCTATTTTTACTTTTTATTAAATAAATATATATATATATTAAAAAGCTATTTTTTTATTAAAAAATTAAATTTTATTTAAAAATTGTTTATATTGTTGGCTTAAAAACATTAGTAGTATATACAACATCTATTTTTTATTATTATTTAATATACTTTACCATGTTACAATAAATTAAAAATCTTTATATAAAATATTTAAGTATATAAGTTTTGAAACTAGTTTTTAAAAAAAGTTTTGAAATAGTTTTATAATTCATCTTAAATAATTTATAGTAAAGTATTATTTTATATATTATTTATTAATTGTTTTATAAGAAAAAATAAATCCAACCTTTTATAATTTGCTTAAAACTAATTGGAATTATTTTGAAACCATATTATTTTATTTGTGACCAGTAATAAAGTTTTTAATTTTATTGAATATTTTAAAATAAATGAATATATATTAGATATAATACTAATTTGAGTTGTTTTTGTAATATTTATAGGATTTATTCTTTTATTTTTTTATTTTTTTTGTATAATATTTGATTTTTGTTAATAAAAAAATAATTTTTTAATTGTAGGTTATGTTATTGATGAAATATAAAAGTGTTTGGTAATTGTTGATATAGAAAGTTATTGAGATGATAATAGTATAAAAAAATTTTGTTATAAATTTTTTATTATAAAAATCAAATTATTTTTTAAAAAATATTAATATATCAATTAAAACAATGTTAAGTAAAATTGTTTATAAATTTTTATAAATTGTTTAATAAATATATAATTATTATTTTTTTGTATCATACTGTATGAACATAATTTGTATTACTTACATTACTGTATATTTATTTACAGTACATATGAAAGATAAAGAATATGAAAATATTAATTTTGTAAAAAGACAACTTTTTTTATTTATATATGCAACTTTCAAAATCAAATCAAATCTGAATTCAATATTATAATTATGGAATGGCCTTTTCAATTGCCCAACCTCAATACAATTGAAAATAGATGGAGGGAGATTAAAAATTGGATTTATAAAACTACAAACAAAATTTAAATTAGAAGAGGTCACTATTGCGACCTGGTATAATATTAAATCAAAGAAGAGATAAAAAAAAAAAACGGACCATGCAACTCGTTGATAAATTATTTTTTGTGATACTGTACCCTCCTTTGTGCGCATGAATATTGCTACTATGTATAAAAATTTGTTTTGAAAAATAGACATCCTTGTTGAATACAGTAAACAAAATACTTAAAAATATTTATACTGTAAATAATGTACTGTGTATAATTAATTATAAATAACCTTTGTGTCACCTACCTTAAAATTAAAGAGTTGCATTTTGATTTGACATCTTGGATTTTCTCAATATCTTTTCGAAGCTTCGATTTAATTTTTTTTAAAAATCAATATACAGTGTATACCCCTTAGCCATTAACAAATACTAAAAATAATTTATTTTAATTCGTATGCAGTATTCTTAGGATTTTCTTTAAATATTAAATTTACCATTCCATTCACTGTTCCCATAGTAATAATTTTCCTCTCCGGGTTTTTTACACTGATAAGTTCAAAATTGATTCCGTCGATTTTGTTAATTTTTGGACAAGAACAAAGTACACGGCGACTTATATGGACATTCATTTACAACGAAACAGTCAAATGACCACTGTTACACACGAATTTTGACATACTGTGTGATACCGGGTATCTCAAGAACGAACACTTGCATTCAGTATAAATCTTACTAAGCGGAATGTTTCTCCGTACGTGAGTAAAATATGCGTATTGATGTAATTCATTTTATAAAATCCAAATGTAGTACTCATTTCGAATTGAGAATTCGTTCGTGTATCTGATGTTGCTACACACGTTTTAAACTTTTTTTCTTTATGTGGATTAAACAGTAAATTTCATTAATACATTGAAAGAGATTAAATAATTCTGAGTACGGGCTCCCCCAAATCGTTGATGCGTTGAGAATATAATAATTAGCATATTGTAGCAATTTTTTCGATATAGTTTAGCAAATTTTTTTTTGTTCGTCGCGTTATAGCCATGCCTTTTAAACCTCACCACTCGGAAGAATATTCTGATAGATCACGAATTTTTCGTGAAATTTTGCAAAATTCTGATAATGTAAAGAGTCGAGAACAAATATTTATTCTTGATCGCAATAGTTACCCTACTCAAAAGTGTCTCAAGAATGACTATGACAAACCCGGCAAAGTAAATTTAAAATTAGATCAATATCAAGGACCAGCTTTGTTGTCATGGAACGATAGAATTATTAAAAAACGAGACTTTTATTCCATGTTTAAATTGCCTGATAATGATCAACATGATAAATACGGAGGTATTGACTGGTTGTGCTTTGCAGTACACGCTTTACGAGAATTAGATCACTAATCTAGACAGCACAAATCGTTTAACTATTTGTTTCCGTGACAGGTCTTAGATTTAACTCCATTTATCACCTTACCGATTCTCCTTCGTTCATCAGTGGAAATAAATATGTGATTTATCATAAGGGCACCTTGATATATAAATTATCCAGAGAAAATCTGGCTGCGAAGTATCCCGACCAATTTGCACCATTCAAAATTCATTATGATCACGAACTCAAAGGAACTTTATTTCGATATCCACTTCATACGTCTGAATACGTAGACGATTCAATAATTTCGAGTAAATATTACGGGTCCAATGAAATTCTGGAAATGTTTCAAGAATTTTATAAAAATGAAGCCAAAAGTTGCTTGTTGTTCTTGAAATACGTTGAGGTCATTAAATTTTATGAGTTAAGAGAAGGAGAAACGAAGCCAAAGTTACTTTACGTTGTAAATTTCGAAAATGCCGATCAAGTCAGGTTAAAACGTCAACTAATCGCCGAAAAGGTCGAGATGATGTCAAAGCATCAGTTGTTTGCAAAAAATATTATGACAATGATGAAATTGTTGAATTCCAGAAATCTCAATGAATCCACGTATACCGCAATACTCGGGCAACAAAAAGGTCAAGGTCAACGAGAAATAAATAGATGGTTTATCTTTAATTGGCTCGGTAACATAAAAAAAATGGACGATTTCATTCGAGAAAATTTCGGAAAAAATATCGAAGATTACAAGTTCATGTCAAATGTCACTATTGCTGTACGGCTTAATGATTCAAGGAATTTCCTGTATAACCCACTTGTAATTGCAATTCCTTTTCGGAGCTCGATGCATGAATGCCATGTGGTAAGGTTAAAAGATCTTATAAGCTGTGCGGCGTTCTTTGTACATTACATTAATACGGTAAAATTTTTGATGTTTATTGAAGATCAGTGCAAACAGACAACCTCATCCCAAGATCAATGAAGGTGAAGAGCTGGTGAGAAAATTACCGATTTCGAATTTATCATTCATAACATTTTTGACTTAATTATTTGTTTACCTTGCAATTTAAATAAACCACGCCTTGGTGAAGCAGAAAACATCTTGGAATGAGTATCTCTTCAACAGCATTCTCCCACAAGCATGGGCAAAATTATTGGCTAAACTACCCCACGAATTCTCGAGTGTTGATCAGTCCAAGTTTTATGATTTTTGGCCAATCGTTTCAGATCAATCGTCAGACAGTGGGGTTTCCGCGGGATTATTAAAAAATGTTATTGAGAACCTCAACATCAGCGATGAGGTTTTCTGTGGGCCACCCGCCTTATATTCATCCGACAGTGTGCGGCGTTTGTCACCAGAAACCAAGGTGATCTCTACGAAGGTGGAAACAAAATTCCGATTGTTGTCAATGGCCAATGGATATTTTCCAGCCGATCCTAATGCACATGCAGTATCCGAAATACTTGAAAAAATCGGTTTCCCGGTAATTAATATTAATTCTATGGTGGAGGATGCATTGAAAGAATCGAAACGCAGCAACGCTATCCAATATTATTCTCCTAAAGTAGTTCGAATCTACCTTCAACAAAATATTTCCACGTGGAAGGATTACTTATCTCGTAAGGAGCTTCTAAGTCTACTTATTTATGTACTTCAAGATAAAAACCCTGAGGGACTGGATGGACTCCAGATGATACCATTGGCGGATGGCACATTTGGAACATTCTCAAGAGCTGACGATGATATCGTATACATTGGCCCTGGTCGTTCCCAGGAAATAGTTGCTTGTGATGAACGTAGGATTTTTACCAGAAATCTAGATAATTTTATTGACATGGATATTCCTCATAAACTATGGAATCTTTTATATGAGGGTGCAAAAGATGTTCAACTTTTGAACATTAGGATGCTGACCCCATCAGTCGTAGCAAATTTAATCAAGGAGAACCTAAAAGGTTATGCATCAAACGCAGATGAGATTAAAATCGCAAACAAACGTGAATGGATTTATCAGATCTGGAATAATTTAATGGAGAGAGATTGTGATTTAAAAGATTTTGAACATCTGCACCTCTTACCTACAAATCGAGGGACACTTCGAAAGATCAAAACGTCAGAAAAATGCTTTTGGGATGGAGGTGATTATAAACTTGGTAACGAGATACAACCACTCGTAAAAAAGTTGGGCGTTGTATTTGTCGATCGGGATTTCGAGAAACTTTCGGTACATACCTGGTCAAAGTAAGCAAATATTATTATCTCCATTCTATTTACTGTTCTATTACATCTAAACTTTATGATCATTGTTATTTTTTAGACTTTCGCCATATGTTATCAAACTTTTTGAGGTGTCGTCAGTTTTACGATGCCTACGAAACTCCTCATCCTATCCTCAAAATTTAAAGATTCAACTACAAGACCGAGATGCCGTGACATTGTTAAAATATTTGAGTAAGCCCTTTATTAGCAAGACTCTTGATGCTGACCTTGAGGTCATTATGCTCGATGTGATAAGAAATATTCCAATATTTTCTGCGAGTGATCATGAAAAATCGATTTCTTCCAAGCACACACAAAAAGAAAAGGATCTCGGACAGGCAATGGTGCAAAATCCTGATTTTCTTAGTGACCATCCAACAAAGTTTGAATTTTTCTTGGAAAATATTGTCAGGGCTTTAAGATCAAAACGAACCGATCACTGGCATGAATATGTAGCACCATACTTTAGCTCGCAACCCCGGCTGGTTCTTGACAGAGTGATGAATGGACTTTTTAATTATTTGAAATTGTTTCTTCAAATTGATTCCCGGTTGAAGCCTATTTTAAGTCAATTGGCTTTAGTTACCGCTGGTACGAATAAGAAGGCAGACATCTACCAAGGTTCTAACAAGTATAGTTTGTGCAAGCCCACCGATCTTTACAGTCCAGAGGATCAAACAATTGTAGATTTGTTTTTTGAGGACGAAAAGGTTTTTCCCACCGGAAAATTCCTGGATAACTCTTCGCAAACATTAAACCTTCTGAAAGATTTAGGCCTCAAAACCCAACTTTCAGAGGATGATATTCTTTGTCGTTTGAAAGTGATAAGTGATTATAAAGAGGCCGCGAATACACCCGAATTATTCGACGTGGTTCATACCAAAGCCCTAAAACTTCTTCAGTACATTGACAAAAGGTGGGGTGACCTATTTAGCAAGGTTGACCATGGGCCAAAAACTAGGCAGCTTTTGTCAGACATTTTAACCAATGAATGGATTCCGACTGTTGACTATTTGGGAGTGAAACATTTCTCAAGATCACAACTCTGTAGAGATGTGAGAGAAAAAAGTATTATCGGTTACGCTGTACCTATTCTCGAGTATGAAATCAAGAAGGAAGGTTTTCTTAGTCATTTATCTTGGGACAAATATCCAAATATCAAATTGATTCTTCAACAACTTGAGGTATGCTCGAACACCGGCAATATTGACACCCATAACACCTGCAAAATGATTTATGGTTACTTGGATAAGGTCGTGTCCGAATCTGTTCAAAATGTTGTAGTAGACATAATGAAAAAAAGATTAAAAGGCATGAAATGGATCTTGATTGATGGAAAGTTTTATTCATCGAACAATGTCATTTTAGAAATTCCCGAGAGCCTTAAAGATTTAAATAATCGGATTATGGTAGAACTCCCTTATGAATACCAGATCAATTACAAAACGTTATTTCAAGAAACTGGAGTTCGTCATAAATTGGAAATTCAAGACTGCGTCAATTCCATCAAAGAATTTGTTCGAGGAGACACCGTTAAACTATCTTACGACGAAATATGGGATGTAGTGATGATAATCAAGCACATGTCGAAAGAATTGGTGGAAAATCAAAGTTTGGTGAAAATGTCAAAAGATTTGCTTGTTCCTGATACCAAGGGAACTCTGGTGCCACTAAATAAAATCTGCTATGATGATGCCGGCTCAGATTTGGATGACGAGAAGAAAGAGAATTTTTGGATCGCACACCCTCTGATATCGTTAGAAACGGCGCGGAAGATTGGAATGGAAATGCTGACTGAAACAGAAAATGCAAAAAGTAAGCGTTAAAAGTTTTAACAAGTGATGAATGAAGTTGTAGGCTATTTGATGAAATTCTTTTTCTTATTCTATTTATTTACTTATTTTATTTATTTATTTACTTATTTTATCATTATTATTGCACTAGTTTATGGAGAATTTTATGAACAAAGCGTATCTGTAACTGCTAGAATCAAGGATATCATCGCTGTGAGTTATACAGTACATCATTTACGTAGTTGATTCGCAATATGCGCTGTGATCAAGCGTGTTAACTTTTGGAATATTTTTTAGAATCATCCGCCAAATTCCATTTTCGAGGAGTTTTTATTTGTAATTAATAATCTTAATGTTTTTTTTTATACGTGCATATAAGCAAAATTTTACAAAGAATATTTGAATTTCTTAGAATGCCGACAGAGCGGGCTCGCGTCGATTTAGTTTGTATATCGACGAAAGAGACTTTTCCAAACCTTTCGATGCATCCAATTCCTTACTTCTAAGTGAAGAGATGTATATTTGGCAAGGTCCTACCCTGTGGATCCATTACGATGCAGAGTTTACCGATAGCGATTTCAGGTCATTGCTTAATCTTGGGGTTGAAGAAATTGATCGCTTCGGAATTGAAATCAATTCGGTGTTCAATTTCACCGATCTCCCAAGTTTTGTTAGCGGCGAATACATTGCTTTTCTGGATCCACATGCCAAATATCTTCCAGCATTAGGTTTTCCTCCAAGAAAACCTTTAGGGAGTCGATTCAATTTTATCAAATCTAATTTCAGGCACCGATGGTCCAATCAATCTCGTCCATATATTTCTATGGAGGGGTGTGATCTAACAAAGAAATATGAAGGCACCCTATTCAGGATTCCACTAAGAAACCAAGAAGCCGCCAATTCAAGCGAAATATCCAATAGATCATTCAAACCCGATGATCTCTTGGATCTTCTGAAAAATATCTGTGGAAAGAGAGAAATTTTATTTCTGAGAAACCTCGAAGAATGCAATCTATACTATATGCGTCACACCGGAACAGAGTTGATCTGGAGGACAAAAATAAAGAATGCTGATGTGAATGTGCGAAACATACGTCAGTCAATTATTCACGAAACAAAAACATTTCAACTTGAAATGGAAATAGAAAAGGATGATAAGAAATGGGATGAACATTGGTTTCTATGCACTGGAGGGGATAAGAAATGGGATGAGCATTGGTTTCTATGCTCTGGAGGGGACAAGAATGTTACGAATTCCAAACTGAAAGCTTTTTCCAATGCAAAAGGAGTAAGCGTAAGTAAATACTGTATTTAGGAGAAATTAGAGATTTACACGATGCGTATTTATCTAATGTATGCATTCGATTAATAGTCTATTGGCGGTGTTGCTGCACTGATTACGTTGACAGACGATGAAAAAGAGGTATTTGAGAACATTTATCAGGTAGTTGCATAGTTTCATTAATTAATATTTTCTTGAATTTTCTTAGGCAAATTGTTCAACAGACGTAAAGGAAGACACGTGTTCTCCCTTGTATTTTTCAATAAGCACCAACTGGAATGTGGTGCTAGATAGCAGATCCTTTATATTTGATAGCCAAGGATGTGCTTTGAAATCCGACAACAGTATCGTGGATGGTGAAAGTGAAGAGGCAAAGTGGAATCGATACATCTTGTTAGAAGTTTTACCGCCATTATATGCTAGGCTTCTTGAAGAGATTGCGATCGACGATTTTCGACGATTCGAGAACGTGCATAAAACCGTAGGAGGAATGTTCTTCACTCCTCACATATCAAGGTATTGGCCGATAATTATTGCACCGGAATTTTCAAAATCTGACATTTGGAAAAGATTTGAATCAACTGTTCTTCAAGAAGTTGCTCAATGCAACTACCGTATATTCTGGACGAAGGCAGATGGGGGAAAATTTGTTTCATTTAAAGAAGCTGTTTTTGTGGAATCGGGAAAATCCTGGATTCCCGATATCCTCGTGCGACAAAACGTTCAGATTGTGAAGCTACCAACAGAACAATACAATAATCTCCAGAAACTTTCAGAAACGCCCGTTATAAATCCAAAAATAATGACTCGAGATTTAGTGTGCGATGCGTTTCGTAATGGGAATGAAATATGGAACTCCTTCACTAATCATCAAGAAGAGAAAGTCAGAATAGAAGAAAGAAGAAAAGAAGTCTTTGTTTTGTTATATTTTATCCTTAAAGACATAAAAACATTTGATAAAAAATCATGTGAAATACTAAACGGAACGACTCTAGTTCCTCTGTGCGATGGTAGCATTGGAACTTTTGGTCAACAAGAATACTACATGATAGATGAAGGTCACCAAAAGTTATTTAAAAATACCAGTCAATCTATCTTTGTGTGCGAGTTACCTCATTATCTTAGCGAAATCTTTCACAACAAAGAATTCTCTAATTCATTGAAGATTTATGAACTTGATGCACGTGTACTTCTTAATATAATGAAGGATGAGCCGAATATGGTAGAAGAATTATATTGGCCCAATTCCTCAGAGAAGCAATGTCACTACGAGGAATGGATCACCCTGATATTGTCGAAACTTGCCGCAGGTTCTAATTCTGAAATACAAAAATTTGTTCAGGGTGATTATCGTATATTTTGGACGAAAGCAAACGGAGGTGAATTTGTCTCATTCAAAGATGCCGTTTTTGCCGAATCGAGAAAACCAGCGATCCCCGATATTCTTGTACGACAAAATGTTCGGATTGTTATGCTGTCAACGGAGCAATATAAATGTCTTTCAAAGTTGAAGGGTCACACCGTGCCTACAAAATATGTTACGCAACAATTGGTGTGCGATAAGCTCCGCAGTAAACCTGATATCTGGAATTCTTGTAGCTATCCATACGAAAAGGCCACAATAGAAGAAAGTCAAAGAAGTATTATTCATTTGTTAAGTTTTCTGCTTGTGGGTCAAGGGTCTTGCAACTACGAAATGTTGAATGGGATGACTTTGGTTCCTTTATATGATGGTAGCGTCGGAACTTTTGGGCAACAGGAATATTACATGGCAGACAAGAAATACAAAGAACTGTTCAAAAAGACTAAACCATCATCACGTTTTGTTTCCGAACTACCGTACGATCTTGATAAAATTTTTCATGACGAAAAGTTTTCCAAATTTTTGAGAATTCGTAAACTCGATGCGCGTGGAATTCTTAATCTCTTGGAGTATGAGTTGCCCAAGGTGAAAGAAATGCATTGGAATCCCCGGTGGACGCATTATCCAAATCAAGAATGGATTAACCTGATATTGTCAGAATTTACAGCAAAGTCTGATTTTGAATTTTCGGAGTTTTCCAAATTTCCACTTCTCTCAGTCGAAAATAAACTTGTCCAATTTGATTCTGGAAATCCCTTATTTTCGTTAGACAATTCTGATTTTTTAGTGGTGCCAGTGCTTAAAAAATTAGGAGTCAGGTTTACCGAAGCTAGGTTATCGACAAGTGCACATCCGTTCCTTAAAGGATGCATACATCAGTGGAGTGAAGTAGACGCAATCAAGTCTATCGAGCGAGCAAGGTTATCCTCTTCAAAATCAATGGAGCAATTGATTGAACGGTTAGTAGACAGTACGAAATCATTAGTTAGATACATTGCTTTGTTATTCATCTTACTGATTATTATTTTTTACAATAGTAAGTATTTTATATTATTCGATTATTAATGACAAAGGATGTTGAATTATCATCGTTACATCCTTGTTGATGATTCAGTATTCTTTGTAACGTATAAAAAAGTTTGAGCAAGATAAACAGATTATATACTGTGGCGGATGTGGAAAGAATATTTGGAAATTAAGAAAAGATAGATGAAAAGAAAAAAACTCTGTTACGCAAGAGCCAGCTCAGAAAAGCAGAAAAAGGATCTCGACAGGCAATGCAAGTATCTCAGACAGAAATTTCCAGACCACGAACTCATCAGGAATCGCAAGGGCTCACGCCCATCTTGGAACGATTGTACCAAGGAGGTTGTGGTTAGCGACTATGCAGATTTGCGTACGAGCTTGTCGAATGGATTCTTGGCAAGAACAGTACAAAGATTGTGGTGCTCGGTTCGGACGTTAACGTTCATGATGCCGAATCTGATGAGCTTGCCGAGGACCTATTATCAAGACACAATGGATTCAGATCAGCCGAGAGCCGAAAACGACAAAAAGAGATTAAAAACACGAAAGACAAGTATTTACCTAACGCCCGAAGAAAGAAAAGTTAAGAAGGTGGCTGGGAAATATGCGAATAAGGTTCTTGAGATGGTGCAGGGCGATGGAATTACCAACATGAGCGTCATATGAAGGCACTACCTAAATGATGAGTGCTTTACAACTGAAGAACTCCTGTGGGTAAAAGAGCCCCCTAGGGAAGTACGTTCGTACGCGATTCGACAAATGATGGACTCACACAAAACAAACAATAAATTGCATGGAAAATAATTTTCGAATGAAGTACCGATCAAATATGGAGCGAACACAAACCATTTTGATCCTTGCTATGAATTGGAATAGAAATAGAGGGAAATACGCGTTCCTAAAAGTATTATCACCTTAAAAAGATCTTCGGATATCAATAATACGGTTAATAACTATGGATTACCTGAGATATTTTTACTTGTGTGTTTTCGTTTCTTTGGATATCAAAGATGATATTCAAGAAAAGGTAATTTCACTTGATCCAGGTGTTTACACGTTTATGACCGATTACGACTTTGACTAGCAATTAATCGAGTGGGATAACTGTGGTTTAATAAAATGTTCGAATTATCCAAGAAGATGACAAATCATAGAGCGACATAGATCATGCTTTGGAAAGAACAAACAGGAAGAAGAGATTTTGATTAAGAAAATAAATGCGACGAATCACGAGATAGTTTGAAGAATAAAAGAAAGATTTGGTCGAAGACAGCTCGTTCGATGCTGACCTAGTTGCATTTCATATTTCGGATTTCGGATGTTTCTTTTACACAAGAAGAGAGAGTGCAAGTACTGCAAGGTCCTTGAGTACATCGAGGAACATACTTCTAAGACAAATGACAAACTGAGTGGTTCCAAGACTTTTCAATGTGATTTGTGCGAGGTTGAGATGGATCGGGAAGTGAATGGTACCAGAAATATCTTGCTCAGACATTTTGACGGAGGGTTAGGTTTTGGCCTGACTTTGGGACTTGAACCTATATGGGATAAGAAATGCATAGTAAAGACTAACTTTATTTATTTATTCATATTTTAAGGGTTAACGCCAACTGATGTCTTAAACCTTAGATTATTCATTAAACGTTCGGCATTTGTGAGTACGTAAGAAAATCAATCTTTTGTTATGATACTTATATGTTATTATCAATATAAACTAATAACGGTGATGATAATGTTATTTATGAAACAGAAAATATACAAAGTGTTTCTAGTGAGGTCCTTGCAATTGTCCAAAACTTACCAATTTGGCCGGTACGATCCTCGGGACCGGTAAAGTGCATCGCAGCTAATGCAGGAGTTCTATTTCCCAAAAGACTTCGTTCATTCTACTACGTCGTGGAAAATGCTTTCTTTATCGAATCTGATGAATATGCCCAAACACTTTGCCAACTTTACGTTAACTCACCTAATGAATTAGAATGCGTCACGCGTTATCTAATTCCTCACTTTAAAAAAGCTAAGCCTGATGCTGCATATGTCAACTTCTTGAAGGCTATCCTCTTGCTTAAAAACAAAAGGATAGAGCTTTATCTGTGTACGAATGAACTTTTCCCAAACAGATCTCTCACAAGATATGCAAAGGTCGACACATTATATGACGCTAATGTGTCCCTTTTCCACGACATCTTTCGAGACAAAGATGTGTTTTTACCACAAGGGTTACAGGAAAATCAAGAAATCTTAAATATATTAGGAACAATAGGGCTAAATCGGGTAGTCAACTCTCATACGTTTATCGAATGTGCGCGCGAAATTGAGTACAAGGCAGAACAAAAAAGTACACCCATGTCAATCATCAGTTTATTGGCAAAAAATTTGTTGAAGGATCATTTATTCATGCGTTCTATCCCATTGGTATTTACACCGAAGGAATGGAAAGAAATTTTGACCATCAATTTTGTTCCTGTTGACACAAGCCTCCCCGCGCATTACAAGAAATTTGTAAACGAAAATTCATGCGAAATTAGATCGTTGGATTCTATTTGTCTTTATAAACATAAAGAATTAATATGGTCTCAGGTTCCGTTTCTTGAGGTGTTTCTTGAACCGTCCGACAAAATTCTAAGAAATTATCCCGGACTGTGTGCGCCCCGAACAGAGAATGTCATCGATCATTGGTATAAATTTGCATTAGAAATAGTACAGACAGATGACCCTTGGTGGAAATCACTCGACGGGATAACTCAAATTAAAAATACGATACTGCAAATATATGAATATTTGAACAGAAGTGTAGAAAGAGGTCAGAATGTGATTTACATTAAATCGAGAATACTTACTAATGCAAAGTTATTCTTAAATGGTGACGATCCATTCGAATCAGAAAATTGGATGGCGGGATGTAGTTTGATTTATGGTGCTTCGGACGATATGCAACACTTGCAAAAGGTCTCTCCATCTTTACAAAAATATAAAGCTTTGTTAAAATTGGCAGGGGCGAAAGAAATGAAAAGTGTCGAAATGGGAATACGTGTACGAGTTCATAGTCAGAAGGACTATCTAGTAGATAAAATGATCAAGCTTTTCGAAGGTCAAGACGAGACTCGGCACCACGATGTGATCTTTAAAGTTAAAGGTGAAAGAATTCTTGCAAATCGATATGCTCTTTCGGGTATTTATACATAGATATTCTTGTCACGTTTATCTTATTAAATGATAAGAACTAAGAAATTTCAACTTTTATTGTATAGCTTCCTCGGAATATTTCGGAATTGCTTTCTGCGGTAGCATGGCCGAATCGACCGAACTGAAAAGGGTAGAAGTATTAATTGAAGATATTGAACCTGATCCTTTCCGAGTTCTCGTTCGTTGGCTGTATGGGCAGACATTTGAAGATGCATCAGCCGCGGTCTTTCATAAACGCAACAGTTCACCTGATTATAGGGAATATTATCTGGAATCGCTGATCAATCTGCTTCAAGTCACGGATAAATATAAACTTGATCCATTAAGAGACCTTATAGAAATGGCGATAGCAAAAGTATGCAATATAGAAAATGTGTTTGAAATCAGGGAGTGGTCGAAAATGTGCAATGCATCGCAATTGGAAAATTACTGCGACAGATATATTAACGCAAATCTTGAAGAAAATAAGGAATTGATGATACAGGATATAGTCAAGAAAATTGAACACGTTGAGGATGAAGAAGAGAGGAAACTGTATTCAGAAATATTAGAACCACTATTTTATCATTGAGAAATTCAATCATTATCTGTAATTTTAGTATGTCTTAGATACAATAATTTAGATATAAAAACGTGTCTTTTTTTTTAACGTAAAAATATCATGTAAAAATGAATGAGACACAGCTTGTACATATGTTTTATTAAAATTTTATTCAAAAAAAGAATGAAGTAAAAATGTATTCCACATCATTGTTTTTGTCATATAATCTTCATTACAGTCTATAGTACAACTATATTTATTCATTAATTTATTACTTTATGTAATACTATACGTATTAATTTCATTTTTGAAAAAAAATTTTCTAAAAAAAAAAACAATAACCGATTTTTAATAATTCACAAAAGGTTGTAATGAAAATAGAAATTTGGTGAATGAAAACAAATAAATGACAAATAATACTCTAATCACTATATACTGTATATATTTATATATTTAAGAATGGAAATATACAAACAATTTTTTTTAAATATATTAAACAATATCATTAAATTCTAATTACAAAGAGATAGCAAATCAAAATTGTTAATTTTTCTCTCAATTACAAAAAAATAATAACAATCAAACATTATAATTTTTCAATAGATGAGCCAATTAAATATAAATTAATAAAACTTTAACCTATTTTTTTTGTTTATAAAATTTTTTTAAATTCTTTTTTTAGCTTAATCTTGAGCTACCATATCTACTTTTATATTAATTTAATTAATAATAATTTAATGATAAATGTATTTTATTAAAAAGATAATTATGTATTCAATATTTTTTTAAATAATTAAATAATAAATTTATAATCTTAAATTATTTTTTTACTTTAGCTTTGATAAATTTTTTTTTTATATTTTTAATACACATATTTTTATATTTTATTTAATAATTTTTCTAAAATTAATATATACTGTAATTATTAATATCTTTTTAATAATAATATAAAAACATTCTTTTAATATGAAAAAATTTTTTATTAAATTTTATCAAAAAGCAAGTTACTCAATGTCAAGTTAAAAAATTATAAAAAAATATTTAAACATTTTATTAATCTATAATTGATTAATTATATATTAGAATAAATTTAATAATAGATTATTATTATTTTGTAATTAATAGAACAATTAAAAATTTTAATTTGCTATTTTTATTAATCAAAGTTTAATAATATTATTTTAATCTATTTAAAGCTATATATATACTAAATATATTATTATTATTATTATTAACAAATAAGCATTAAATATATATTTTTTTCTAAACATATATATTTTTAATATATAATTAGTATATTAATACTTATTTATATAAATTAAATACATATTGATACTTGATAAGTTATTTTTTTATATTATATTTTTGACTTATATGGTTACGAGGAAACGACGATTGATAATATGGCTTAAAAATTGAGAAAATAACGATTGTGCATTATTGTAAGAGTTTAAATGTATCATAACAGTTTAAACAATGAGTTGTATTCAAGTCAAAATAAAACCACAAGTTTTAGGAGAGATAATTATTTTATTACCCCAAAGACAAAAATACAATCTGAATTTTACAAAGGTAAAAAGGTTCTCTTTTTATAACTATTCTCTGTTACATAAATAACTATAAAAATACATAAATAAAAATATATATTATTAATATATAAGTCCTTATTGGTTCTTCCGGAAGGTCTTATATACCATAAATGTAAAATAAGATAAAAATAATAATATAATAAATGTTACGCAGCTTAATAATAATGTTCTGTTTTTCAAATAAGTATAAAGATAATAAACACAATAATTAATAATAAATGATTAATAATATTCCAGAAAGTCACATGATATTCTGGGAGGTTCCAAAGTGTTTCACAAGGTTCCAAGAAATTCCGGGGTGTTTCACAGTATTCTGGAATATTCCAGGATGTCCCAGGGGTTTCTGGTCACACAGCATGTAACACAGTAAAAGTGGAAAAATTGTTACAATTATAGAGGTTGCCAAAACAGGTAATTGACTCTCAACCTCATTATTTCTTTTATTTTCATTATTTCTTTTATTTTCATTATTTCTTTTATTTCTTTTATTTTCTTTTGCTATAAGAAAAAACATAAAAATGATGTAAGGAAATATAATAAAAAGAGAGCAGAAAAATTAGTTAATAAAAGAGTGTTAAAATCAACCTACTTATCGCACTGTTCTGACTAATAAAATCCCCCAAATTACACAAACTCACTAAATCTATGTCTCTTTCTGTCTTTAATCCCCCCTGTTATAACAGATACCCCTGTTGAAGTGTCACAAAGTCTAGGATTTCGCCGTTACTGCTGATAGACCTCTGACCTGCAACAATATAACTATAGAACCAAGGTGAATTTAATATAAATATATACTTTTTAATAAATACTTTAAAAGTTATAATTTTTAATTAGTACATACTATAAATCTAAAGACTATAGAATCAAGTAGAGTATAATTTCAATATCTTTTAATAAATATTTTAAAGAAATTTAGTTAATTTAAGTTATCAAATTTAAAAGCATAAATGTCAAGCTAAATATAATTTATATACAATATATTAAGAAAAAAACCAGAAAAAAATTTATATCAAATATTTAATATTAAATTAAGAAATAAAAATTTATATAAAAAAAAAAACTCTTTCCTGATCCACTTGCATTCGTCAAAAATTACCAAATTAGGAAACAAAAATTTTCTCGCAAAACAAAAACCCTAAAGACTCTGGAGGGTCCTCCACATCCTCCAAGGGTCAAACAAACGAACCTTTACATGTCCTACTTGATGTTCTTATTACCGAT